TGCCGTTCCTGCACCCCAGCGAGACCGGCGTCCTGAACCGGCTCTGCCGCCTCGGCACCGACTACATCCGCTTCGCCGAGTTCGTGGAGCAGTACACGGGCCACGTGCAGCAGCAGGTGTGCGGGTTCCCCGGGCAGGGTGTCCCGCGGCTCGGCCCGCGCCGGCACCGACAGATGACAGCTCTGTGCAGGGCACGTGAGAGAGGGTACAGAGGGACCAGGTGTAACATCTCATTCTTGGGGAAGTCTTGTGGTAATGTCTGACCGCGGCAGACTGGGCGGTGTCTGTGAATTGAACAGGATGCTCATGTCTGTCTTGTAGTGAGTCCTTCTCATGGTTTGTAAAGATGCCTTGAGATCCAAAAGGCACACTTAAGTGAAAAGGAGCACTGGTACCAGCACTTTGACGGGTTCACAAAAGAGCTAACTGTAACTGCTCAAGTAACTCTCCTTGTGATAAGGCTGTGTTTGTTTTTCTGATCACTTTATGGTGGGCTAAGGTGCATTTCAGCATGTTTGGACTGCTGCTGTGACGCTGCATGGATCGTTACTCCTCACACCTGCGCTAGGGCGCAGATGCAGATTTTGTTATTCAGTTTCAGGACCATCATCCATCTCAGCAAAACCAGAGTGGATTACATGGCATTTATCTGCGAGCCTTCTGCACGGGCCTCGACTCGGTGCTGCAGCCGTATCGACAGGCACTGCTCGACCTGGAGCAAGAGGTAAGGTGGAGACATGGAACAAGAGGCTCTTGTGCTGCTGACAGATTGTGCAAGTTGTCATTTCTGCAGTAAACATGCTAAGCAGTAGTACCTAAAATAAGACAAGGTATTTTCCTTTCCACGTTAGGGATGTCTTCCAAATTATTCCTGTGAGATGCCATTGTCAATTACTCTTCATCGTAATCAGTATTAAGTCCCATCTTCGTTCAGTTCAGTAAGTGCTCAGTCGGCATCAGAGCCCAGTGCTGCCTCAGACTGTTGTAACTTCTGTTTTCAGTTGTAAGGTTTGATTAATTTCTGCTAGATTGGTAGCTGTCACATCTTGGGCAGTATCACCATCCAGTGGTTGTCATAACCTAGAATGGAACACGGCCAAAAAATATGCAGGGGTAAAAAAAACCTGTGGGAACTAAAGGTTTGGAATATAGGACAAAAGTGCTTTTTTGCTTACCCGTACCTTATTTTAATTTTCAGTTTCTGGCTGACCCGCATCTTTCCATCTCACATGTTAATTACTCCTTGGACCAGGTACGTCATGTTAATAAACAGGTGGTGTTCTTTGGTTACTCTTATCACTCACAGAGTCTAGTAAGAAAGTGGGTGGGATAAACAAGGGTTAGTCTGTTGTGTCATGTCATTTCTATTTAATGCACCTACATTTGTAGTCCCAGAGGATCACCTGCACTTCAGTACAAAGCTTAGGTCCTCCACCTCGACCCTTACATATTCCTCACTGCCTGTGTTTAGCCTAAACTACTGCTGGAATATAGTAACTGTGCATCTTGGTCCAGTGGAGGGAGGACATACCCCCTAGAGATTTTCATGTCATGTTTCTAATGTGTGGGGAAATGCAGACAATAGTTTCATTAAATTACTGTGTTCAGCTGCTGTCAACACTTACTCAAGTATAGTTTTTTCTCACGTCCTTGCATAGCAACCTAATTCAATTTTGCTGTCATGTCATGGTGGAACAGATCAAAACTCAGAAGGTACAGTAAAATTGTAGCTAGTTTCTTTTAACAAGTTTCCTCTTTAACTGAGAAGGTCATGTCTGACCCATCACAGACCTTTAATACTAAGAAAGAATGTGGTTTCAGTAATAGACATCCCATTCCTAGTGCTACTGTAAGGATCAAATAACTATTTTGCAAATCCATTTGTCATGGTGGAACAGATCAAAACTCAGAAGGTACAGTAAAATTGTAGCTAGTTTCTTTTAACAAGTTTCCTCTTTAACTGAGAAGGTCATGTCTGACCCATCACAGACCTTTAATACTAAGAAAGAATGTGGTTTCAGTAATAGACATCCCATTCCTAGTGCTACTGTAAGGATCAAATAACTATTTTGCAAATCCATTTAAAAACATTTTTCCAATATCAGTATGATCTTTGATCTCTTACGTTTTATAATGACAATGCATGTTATGGTACAAGATGCTGTTGGAATTTCCTCTTTCTGAGTCTATTTTTTCTGACTGTCACCTGAAGAAAACGAAAAGGCAGAGGCTAATGTTTCCAGAATCTAAAGGTGCTTATATTTTGTTAAGGGAAGGTTTTGAGAGAAGCTGGGGTGTAAAGCCACATGTAGAAGGCCTCTTTCTTCTCTGCATGGAGCATGTTACATCTTTCTTTCTGTAAGATTTGTTCAGCTTATTAAGGCATTTTCTTGTTAGCCGAAAGTGTAGTGTTTAAATGTATGAAAAAAGTCAGTATAGGTCCAAATAACAGACCTAGTCTAACCTTTCCTTTCTGCAGATTCATGGATGTCAGATACTGGAGACAGTCCACAAACATAGCTGTGGGGGGTTGCCTCCTGTTCGCAGTGCCCTTGAAAAGTACGTAGATACAATCAAACTATTATTTCATTCCTCTGTAACAACTGGAGTTAGTGTCGAAGTGTGCGTCTTACTTGTTAAAACAGTACGTGCAAAACGGTCTTGCATGATATAAAAGTAGGACTAGCATCAGGGAAAACTGTCCCAGTCCCCATTGTTTATCTAAAGCAGGCTTATGGCAGCTTCTCCATACTTGGGACGAAGGGCTGAGAAGAGTTCAGACCCAGTGGTTTTTCTTCTCTGGAAGTCCACATGAACTGTTTTGCCTATGGCAGAGCTGTTAACTGATTTTGATGCTTCAAAAGAATGAGTGTGACTGGGTGACTGTTGCAAGGTTTGTGTGTCCTTGCAGAGAAAGTCAGACTACTTAAAATCTAATTTGTGTTCATGCTGAAACATGAACACAAGGACTGGTAGAAGTAGAAACAGCAGGACTGAGAAGCCACTGCAGACTTACACCTCTGATCTACTAGCAGATCTCCGTGGAGAAGCCACATATTCAGAGGATGTGTCAGTTTAGTTTTGTCCATCTCTCTCTGTTTTGTTTTTTAAAATACAAAATTCCACATTAACCATTCAGCAGTTACTATACTGCCTGACTGACTAACTGGACTTTGCAGAATGATGTGCATTGAGGTCTTGATTACTGCGTGCAAAGGCCTCACTGTCTGTTTCTCCTGACCTCAGGATTCTGGCAGTGTGTCATGGAGTCATGTATAAGCAGCTCTCTGCCTGGATGCTGCATGGATTGCTACTAGACCAGCATGAAGAGTTTTTTATCAAACAGGGCCCCTCTTCTGGGAATGTCCCTAGCCAACCTGAAGAAGATGACGACGACTTAGGAATTGGGGGACTTACAGGAAAACAGCTACGAGAACTGCAGGACTTGGTAAGAACTACAAGTCATAGCTTGGCATCCTGTGGTTGTTAGGGAACTAAGGAAGAAATGTATTCATGAGATCTGCTACTGTACCAGATGCATAAGGAAGTTTACTGCCTTACTGAAACGATACAAAACAGTTTTGCTACCTTTCTGTTTACTACCAACGTACTCAGATGCCCCTTACACACACACACACACACACACACATCTGCCTTTATACACCATTACTCTCTGGTTTTCACTTGATTTCTTTTCCGTGGGGTCTCTCTCTGACAGCGCTTGATTGAAGAGGAAAACATGTTAGCTCCGTCTCTAAAACAGTTTTCTCTGCGAGTAGAAATGCTGCCTTCATACATTCCTGTGCGAGTTGCTGAGAAAATCCTCTTTGTGGGAGAATCTGTACAGATGTTTGAGAATCAGAATGTTAATCTGACCAGAAAAGGTAAGGAACATCTTTCTTGCAACCTTTGCCCAGTTTCTTGAGTGACTGAGAAGTATTCTCCAAAATGGGGCATTAATGAATTCCTCAACAGTCACTGACTATTGGCTGACATTCTTTAGACTATATGGATGATTGTGCCAGTAGTCCCAGTGTTCTGCTTCTGATTGATTTCAAGGGAGCAGTATAAGTACAGGATGAGTAAATAATAGCACTTTCCAAACACTCTCCAAGTTTCCAGCAACAAATCACCATGCGATTTGCTCTGGATAAATAAAGCAATTGCAAAGGTTTTGCTTTCTTTTGAGTTTGTGTCCCTACAGGCTGCAGACAGGCACAAGGGCACATCTTGCACTGAGGGTATACGTTGCAGAATGGTTAATGTTGCCAAAGAGTTGTGGGTTCAAAGATCTAGCTCAGTCCTAGTAAAAGGGCTGTTAGCAGCAACCATTTACTGGAAAACTTGGAGTTTTACTGGTACCACTGCGCTACCATGGCAAGTCTCTATGCTGTAACTGTACTGGCAATAGAAATCTTGTACCTTGATACTTTTACTTTGAGGCCTCCTCAACTTCACATTCCTTGCCAGACCTGAGACAGTGCTGCCTGGACAGCCTTTCTGGCCCACTGTGCTGGAAGGGGTCTGCAGTTCTCCAAAGGGCATTCCTTTCTATCCTCTGAAACACTTCTCATTGCTGCAACAGGCTCCATCCTAAAAAACCAGGAGGACACTTTTGCAGCAGAGCTACATCGACTGAAGCAGCAACCACTCTTTAGTTTGGTGGATTTTGAGTCAGTGGTTGACTGGATTCGGAGCACTGTGGCTGAGGTAAGCATCCTGGGAAGGGGAACTACTGGGCAGGCTGAGGAGCACTTAAGTGAATGACTGGCAGAAGAAAGGGGGCTCTTCCCAATAAGTGGTCGCACAAGACTCTGAACACTGCAGGTAGCTTTCATGTTCTTTTGGGTCACAGAGCCTCATGTAACCCCATCTTCTAATGAAAAAAGGACATTAACAAATGCTCTACCCTTTCATGGGGCAAAGAAAGGCATTTTTGTGTATTTTTATTTCCCTTGAAACAACAACTTCAGAACTTTTCATCATGCTTTCAGCATAATCGATGGCACCTCACTGGACACATTCTTTGGCAATTTTAAATCTTTTCTTTTCACTTGGGGCAGAGAGGAGAACCTGAGCAGATGGGGAGGTCAGAGAATTGGTGATCTGATTTCTTGAGAATTTGGGGTTCTTTTTGTCACAGGTCTTCATGTTTCTTAGGCAGAGATTTTTGCTGGTATATACAAAGAGTTCTAACTACTATGGGCTGCTACACAGGGTTCTTAATGTGTTCTCTTGGGCTTTGTGTAGCATCTTGTACAGGTGCTTTTTATGTATTCGTCACAAGTGTTATGAGACAGCTGCTGTTCTCACTGAATGGGTGAGACAATTCTGACAGGATGTTTTTGTTCTCTCACTAGCATCTTTGGAAACTGATGGTGGAGGAGTCAGATCTACTTGGACAACTGAAGGTAATGTAACTGCTAGTTTGCTTTTGCTGAAGCAGCTTCTTTTCTTTTTTTTTGTTTTGCAAATGGCTGTTTCCCATTAAATACTTCACTGTCTTATAGTCTGGGCTTTCTTCTTTTAGGTAAAGCTGTTTTCATTTTCCGGGTCTCAAGAATGAGCAGAGTGATAGAACTTGGTCAGAGACAGAGTTAGAGGGGTATATGTATGTGGGTTTGTGGTTTGCATCCTGAAGTAAAGGCAGTGTAGGCTTTTTGGGCACAGAATGAAATCCAGAGCTCTCCAGCTGTGTTTTGAAAAGGCAGAAGTTGTCCGAGCAGTAATAAAAATAAGTGTAATCAGCTAGGCTGCTTAAAATTTCTGCTCAGTTTTTGGTATGTTCAGATACAAAAATTAATCTCCACAGATTATAAAAGACTTTTACCTTTTGGGAAGAGGTGAGCTATTTCAGGCCTTCATCGACACTGCACAGCACATGTTAAAGACACCACCTACGGCTGTAACTGAACATGGTGAGTGTTGCTTATTCACTTACCAAACTGTGCTCGCTGTGGTGTAGCAGAAAATGGTAAGCCACATCCAGTGCAGAAGAGCTCTGTCTTACCCTCTACCATTTTGTTTTGAAAGAACAGCACTTGTGAATTAGAATGTCTCACAGAGTAAGCAAACACAGCCTCTCAGAAACTTGCAGATGGCAGGTTTCTCTCCATATTTGAAACTGGAGTTAAAAGAAACCAGTGGCAATAGTGCATCAATGTTGTCTTTTATGGCCAGGCACAAATAATTAATGCGTGCAAGATTAGCACTAGCTGCACCACCTTGTATTGACACCTGTGCTCTCTTGTTGTCAGATGTCAACGTTGCATTTCAGCAGTCTGCTCATAAGGTGCTGTTAGATGATGACAACCTTCTTCCTCTTCTTCACTTAACCATTGAGTATCATGGAAAGGAGCATAAAGGTATCTACTTGTATTTCTAGTAGTGATTTAAAAGGGGAGATGATGACCTTGTTTTCACATCCTATGACTTACCCTTCTCTGAAGTTAAAGAAATACTAATTTTGTTCCCTTTACAGCCCTATGTGCTAGCCTAGGTTGCTTTGGCTCTTGTGAAATCTGTTCTTTTCCTTTCCCCTTTTCTTCCTTGCTGTGGTTTCTTTTCTTCCTTCCTATGACTGAGAAGACAAGCTAATTCAGCACCTCATTTGTTTTCAGACACTTCTCAGACTCGTGAAGGGCCTTCCCGGGAGTTATCTCCACGTGAAGCACCCACATCTGGATGGGCAGCTCTGGGCCTTTCTTACAAAGTTCAATGGCCACTGCACATTCTCTTTACTCCTGCTGTTCTTGAGAAGTAAGTACTAGGTATGGCCTTTGTATATTCTTCTATATGTTCCCTGATCTCAGGCACTCGCTATGTGTTGGGGTTTTTTCCTCTCTGTGGAGGCAAAGGTAGAGCTGTAATACTTCATCTTGCTCCTTGAACCGTAAAGTGGCTCTCTCCACTTACTTGTACTGAGAGTACTTGTAATGACAGTAAGACTTGACAGATCTGCACTAATTTAAAAGCAGTGCGACTTTCACAATGTTTTTATTGACAGTTCCCCTCCTTCTGCTGAAATGAAGTTTGTGGTTTTTAGGTCAGTAACCAATACAACCAGAAATGGCACTCTGAGATGGGCCGTCATCTGATCTGCCCCATCTGTTGGCAGGCAGCAACCACCTATTTCTTTTCTCAGTCTTGCATCATTATGTTCTCCAGTACCTGCAGCCAAGGAAGATTTTAGTCTTAAACAACTTTGTCTTTTTTTGACTGCAGGTACAACGTTGTGTTCAAATACCTGCTGAGTGTGCGCCGAGTCCAGGCTGAGCTACAGCACTGCTGGGCTCTCCAGATGCAACGCAAACACCTGAAATCTAACAGAACTGATGCCATCAAGTGGCGTCTGAGGGATCACATGGCTTTTCTTGTGGACAATCTTCAGTATTATCTGCAGGTCAGTATTACAGAGAAGGGTACAGAAATGCATGGAGGGAGCACTGAGCACCTGTCTTTCAGGTTTCATTCTTCCTACCTTAAGGAAATCAGGATTCCCTCCACAGATCTAGAACTTCCAGTTCCTAGACTTAATGCTGCAATTATAAAGTTTTTGGACTAGTGAATCAGTGAGTGTTACTGGAAATGCAGGAGTTTTGGCTCTCTAGTGTTACTGAACATTTGTGAGTCATCTCTGAAGGATCATCATTAGATACCATCCTGGTTTCTTCCCTTGTCTCTTCAAGTGAACTCCACTTTGAGTTAAGTTTTGGAGTTGGTTAGTTGTTTGTTTTTTTAAAGAACTGAAAGAAGTTATATTCTGACCATCTGAAGTGAAAAAGAAGATACTTTTCAAATGTATACATCAGTCACTGTAGCATGTTCTTGGGAGAGTATCACTTTGTTAATAGCTGTAACAGCTGAATCAATGGGGCCTGGTTTTCTAGATTCTACAGAGTGTAAGCTGTCTGAACTTTTGCACTGCAGCTTTGTCCTGAGATTCCAGATAGTATCTCCCAGTATAAAATTCAGAGATTACTACAATCAAATACCTATGTTAACATGATAGCTATATACTTTTTTAATAGTTAATCTTAAAGAAAGTGACCATTTCCCTTTCTACTTAGCCATTGCTTAGGCATCCAAAATTGTTGTGTCTCCCACATTATGCACTGCTGTTGTATGTAATTCCCCATTCATCAGATGGAGAGAAGAGGATCCTCAGCCTCTAACTTAAGGGTAACAATAAGGAAAGTAAATTTCTTACAAAAAAACTTCTGGCTGGTCTGAAGTACTCCCGTTCCTCAAGATACTAATGAGGCCTCATATCCATCAGGTGGATGTACTGGAGTCTCAGTTCTCACAGCTCCTGCAGCAGATAAATGCCACGCGAGATTTTGAGAGTATACGACTGGCTCACGATCACTTCTTAAGTAACCTGTTGGCTCAGTCTTTCATCCTCCTAAAGCCTGTAAGTAGGTCTCGTTTTCACCTTTCTCTACAAATTCTCCAGTAGCCCTAAGAAACAGATCAGTGAATCTCCTGCAAAGCACAGACTACAATTCTAGGAATAAAGCAGGTATAAATTAGAACAGGTAATTGAATTAAGGTCACTTAATTTACAGTTGGTGAGTGTGAATGCTGCATTCCTGGCAATTTTAAATCAAGATTATTCCAGTGTTCAGTTAACTTAAATTTTGTTACTATATTTTTATCATAGGCAATTTTATTAAAGAAATACTAATGAGCATAGTGCTGGGAACTGTTTTTCCTGAGGGACTCATTCTGAAATGCATTAGGCTAGGAAAAATTCCCTCTCCTGCTTCTACTTAAGAGAATAAAGATAGTTGAGAGCTTCCTGAGTGGACTTTAAGGATCTTTCTTCTTTTTTTAATCAAGTATATGTTAGAATGTTGCACTATTTTGTAAAGATTTAGCCTCATGGAAACATTTCCAAAGGAGGTTAATTTCAATGCAACACAGTGTCTGTTTCAGTATTTTGCTCAGTCTATGAGGCTATAGCATAGAGGTGGCAGAATACTTGTTATCCAGTCTAGAATTTTTGTGTTCCAGTAGTTACATCTGTCAGGCATTTAGGTTAACATTCATGAATGCAAGTTACCTTGACCAACTGCTACAAAAGAAATTCCAAGTTTACTGAGCAGTGAAACCAAAGCCTTGAACTGTAGCTCTTGCTGGTCTGTTCTTCCTTCTTAATCCCAAGGCTGCGGTGACAACCTGCTGGTTGGACAGGGAAAGCCAGTGTTCAGCTCCCGTGTCTATGTGGATGACTCATGCCAATCAGTTTCCTCAGTAATGTCAGCAAAAGGCTGGAGGGAGGGGGGAGATGTAGCACAACATTTAAGTCCTCTTTCCATAGAAAACCTCACAAAAATGCTACAGATACTTTAACATCTTCCTTACTGATGAAAAAATACAGTATCAGCAACATTTTAATTGTGAATGCTGCAATTTTTCAGGTACCAAGAACTGCTTTGCTCTGTGTTCAAACTGTTTCAACTACTACCTTGTATTTTTTATCCCATGCAGGTTTTCCACTGCTTAAATGAAATTCTGGATCTTTGTCACAGTTTTTGTTCTCTGGTCAGTCAGAATCTGGGCCCATTAGATGAACGGGGAGCTGCCCAACTCAGTATTTTGGTGAAGGTGAATCTATGTTTCTGTGGATCTGTTCTTCTCCCATGCAAACATTTGCCTAAGCAGTTACCTTGGCTTTAACAGCTGTAGAACAAGAGTGAGTGTAAGCTAAGGCCCTCTGTATAAGTGCTTGTAATTATTTTAACTAAGCAGCTGTTCCTGAGTTGGAAATTCTGTGTGTACAGAGAGGAGTAAGTAGATACACAGAAAATACCCTATTGGAATAGAACGGAGGCAGGTATCCCTATGGATACCAAACACCTAGGAATTCTTGTGGCTCACGGCTTACCTTACCCTGGACAAGCATTATCACTTCCCTTGCAGTGATCCTTTTCTTCAGGCTGTTAAAGGACTAGTTAGGCAGAAACAGAGATGAAAGGCTTGCTTGCTTTCCCTTTTGAGAGGGCACAAAACTGACTTCTCCTAATTGTAGGGATTCAGTCGTCAGTCATCACTTCTCTTCAAGATTCTCTCTAGCGTTCGCAACCATCAGATCAACTCTGACCTCGCCCAGCTGCTGCTACGCTTGGACTATAACAAATACTATACCCAGGCTGGAGGAACCTTGGGCAGGTATGAGTATCTTCAGGGTTGCTTGTAGCATTATCCTGAGGTACTTGAAGTATGAAGCCATTTCCATTGATTGCTTCTAATTATTTTGGCTTACACAAAGTGTAGCTAAATACTATGACAGAAAAGTAGCAAACCAGCGTGAGTTAATTTTTGGGTTTCATATGCTTTCTCCCCTTTGTTTTGGCATGAAGTTGAACAATTGGCTGAAAAATGCTGATGTGGGCCGATGAAGGGAGCTCCTTTCAACACATATTTAATATTGTACCCTTCTCTTGCAGTTTTGGGGTTTAAGCACCAAGGCCGTGGTGCTTCATGCTGTGACCAGTGACATGTCAAGCAGTGGAAACTGGTGCTCTTGGACAGCTGGAGAGTTTGCACTCCATGGAATTTGTAGTCGGCTCTTGTCTGGTGAACTATTGCTTCAGAAGGAACTGGCAGAAGTGCCACGATTGCAGAAAACTGCATTTTTCTTTCCGAACTAGTAAATACATGCTTTCTGCAGCCCTGCATATCCTTTTATATGCTTCTAGGGAGGCAGTGTGTGCCTCTTCAGAAAGTGAAAAAGCAACAAGAATTACAATGTCTTGACTATGAATGAAGTTTTGGTTGTATTCAGAAGTTCCACTTGCACAGTAAACTGATTTACAGTACACAGTGTCTGCTAATCAAATACATACTGCCAGGTAAATAAAACAGCAATAGCAGTTGGAGGTGAAGGGAGAGGGAAGAAGGAATAGATTTTAAGAATCTCTTCTCATGCGGTGCACTAGCATATCTGTATAGGTGAAGGTGCCACTAGTGATATCACATGCCTTCTCTATAAAATTTAATATATTTTGTGTGCTGAAGTTGCAAAGACAGAAATAGGAGCTTTGCCCTATTCAAGTTCAAAGCACCTTCTGCCATCACTGAACCTGAGGAGACCTGGGATGTCTGCTCCACCTCTGCTGCTTGCATTCCAGACTATTTAGAATGCTAGTAGGGACTACTCTACTGAACCTAAAAAACCCCATCTTGTCATGCAACTGAATGGAATATTATCAATGTCTGCACCCCAGTGCAGAAAAGCAGCATGTGGCAGGAACTTCTTGCTCGTCACTAAGATTTCCTAGTCTTGCTGTAACAGCACAACTTGCTGCAAGTCCATTTGAATGACTGGCAGAAGGCAGCCCTCCACTCCATCAAGTTTCTGAATTTGAACACAAAGGCTGCAAGGAAACCAGCCTTCCCCTCAAAGGGCTGCAGCTCACACGAGAGCTACATGTCCTTGGGGGGAAAAAAATCCTGTCTTCACTCAAAGACACAGAAACAACAGCCAGCAAGTAGTGAGACCTGGCACCTTCCATGTGCTGCAGCTGTTTGGGGTAGGACTGTGCCTGCTGCGAAGTTTATAATCCTGTGACCATGGAAAAAGCTAGAAAACTGGAGAAAGGGTGTTGAAGCTTGGATGTGGGATTTACAGACCAACAGAGTCAGGTGTCTGAGCTAGGAAATAGGGGAGAATACACATCAAGAAAAACTTTACATTTTTGAAGCAGGGGACTAAAGACTAGGAGGCTGGATGGAGGCTTGGGTGCACCTTCAGCCTATAGCTCTCCTATAGTGGAGAGCTTTGCCTTTATGCCAGCTGACTGCTAAGATGAAGTGCCTGGCTGTGAATGCAGCAGCTCAGATGTTTTATTCCATTACCATTTAAAGATACACAGCACTTACATGCTCTTTGATCTCCCAACAGTTTAGTTGTCCAAGGTTCTGGTGTCTATATCTCTACCTAGGTAGTGCCAGTCTGCACTAAGGCAGGTTAATACCTGTATAGTCACAACAGGAAACAAAGAGAGGCAGCCAAAACAAAATGGCACTTTGCCATAAAAATTCTTAGCAGTCACTTCAGCAACACCTCGATGAAAGTAATGGAAAATAACAACAAACTGGAGTACACAACATGCTATTCTTTCAACAAACAGAACTGCTGCTGCTGACTTGAACTTTGTTGTGTTCACTTCTGTAAATAGAGGCTGCCAATGGAAAACACCCTGGAGTAAGTTTAGATAAATAAAGAGTCCCAGCAGCTACCACAAGAGATTGAACATTTATTTAATCACAAAAGTCCAGCAGGTAAAACTATATACAATAATCCATGCATACTGCCCAATTCACAAACATCTAACACCTGATTAAAACACAGTCTGCACAACAGCTGGGACAACAGGGCAAAGTTTTCCTTCAGTGAGGGTCATAGTCATGTTTGTATTTCGGATGCTGCTTGTAGCCTACTCTCTCCCCAGCAATAAGGCTCTGGATCACCCATTCCTGTGAGACAACAGGCAGCCGTAAAGCTTCTGCACACTTCAAGACACCAGCTGGGCAGGAAAAATCAGTCACCACCACATCATAAAGACCCAAAGCAATATCTGCACAAGAGGAAAGACAGGCATCTGTCAGGTGTAGAAAAGATATGCTCTGCAGCCAAAGATCATAGAATCATCGAATCCCACGTGCTTTGGGTTGGGAGGGGCCCTAAAGATTATCCAGTCCCAATCCCTGCCCTGGGCAGGGACATCTTTCACTAGACCAGGTTGCTCCAAGCCCTGTCCAACCTGGCAGATTAGTGTGTTTCACCACTATGAGTTGTTCTTACATGTCCTCTCATTCCTAGGTAGTGAATTATCTCTGTAGAAGTTAAGACATACTCTGCAGAAACCTGCACATTACAAGTAAAAGATTCCTTTTAGTCCAGATAAAAATGAAGAGAAAAACAGTAACCATTACAGGCAGGACCCTAAATCCTGACCTCAGGCTATGAGTACTAGGGTCTACATCCCAAATGGAGAGGGAGAGACAGCCAAGTTCAGAAAGACAAGAAAGCATAATCTGAGAGGCCTACAGAAGGTCCAGGAGCAACTCTTGCCTATCTTCCCCTTTCAACATAGGCTGGAAGCTGACAGTTTGTGTTCTGAATTGCTGCTGCAGCATCTCCTCTGCAAGACAGGTCTCCTAGATGTAATCCATATACAGATTACATTCAAGTAGAGAGCTAGTGTCTGCCCTTTGCCTTCCTTTCTGCTTACAAACAAGCTTGTATGCCATACAAGAGACCACAGTGGCATAGGATTCCCCAAGAAACCTGCCATTGAGTACCTTTGTTGTGAGCATTTGAGTAATGCTGTTTAACAGATGCTGCTCCCCCAGTCATCAGGATTTCAGACAACGGATCCAGGAAGTTCTGTTGCTGGTCTGACACCAGGAGAACCTTCAGGTTATGGAACAGGTTTTCTCGTGGATGCCTGTAAAGAGAAATGCAGACTGCTAAGATTATACAGTAATCTGAGACTTTATTTGAGGACCACTAACTTCTTCTAGTCACCTGATTGGCTTCCGTATTGGTTCTTTGAATATCTTGTATACAATGACCTGCTCTCTTACCACCCCTCCTGAAACACTTGGAACAATTATCCTCTGTTTATAGAGAGTAAAACAGAACTAGACAACACTAGTGGGGTGTGTGTGCAGCGGCCTAAATCCAAAGTAAGGCTAAGATCTTCCTTAATCCTGAACCACCTTTTTTGTGCACATCCAAAATGCCTCCACTTCAACAGGGCTGAGCAGGCAGACAGTCTCCTGCCCAGAAGCCTACAGAAATTTACAAACTTTTGTTTGCCTGAGGAGTCTGACCTGACAACTGTTCTCTCAGAACAGACCTACTGGATTAGACTCCATAGAAAATGCAGCAGCTAAACATACCAAGGGAAAAAAATTATAGTAGTACTGCTTCTCCTTTATCCATTTGTGAGCAAATAGAGAAGTTAGCCAGCTGTGTGGAGAGCCTTGCCTAAATTCCATCTTCCTCATGAGAAGGCTGCCACCCTTCTAATTTCCCAGGAGACTTTTGTGTGTATATGGTAACCAAATGTACCATGGCATTAGAGGTCACTGTAAATCCAAGGAAAGAGATGGAAGTGCTGTTCCTATATAGAGAAGGGAAAGCATGGGGAGCAGTTCTAGGGTCACCTTCGGTACTTGCAGTTATTCAGAAGCCTCCCGAGCACAAGTCTCTGAGGGTCTGTGGACTCAGATCACAGTTACTTAGCACTTACCACTCTAGCAGCTTTTGCTCCTGGAGGCTATAACCAGCCGGTAAGAGGTAATTCTGGTAATTTTGAAGCTGGTTAGCATGACAGCTATCATGGACCCAGATGTGAGACACACAAGGGATCCCTCTGGCAAGGCACAGCAAGTATTTACGAGTTCGACAGTGCTGGTCCGCGATTAAAAGACACTGATAGGCTGCACTGCACTTCAGGGAGAGAAACAGACATGTAAACAGGAGACAGTGCTTGAGGAACAAAACAAATTCCCTGACTTTCACAGCCATATTACATGAAAGGTGAATTAGATAAAGGTACTACTGATTTCATAAACTGTTTAATAATCACCTGTTCCAAGCTCTGCAGTTCACAGGCAAAAACTTTGCCTAGTAGTTTTTGTATCATAACCCTCTTCCAGTTCAGACAAAGGAGATGATTTATTGTCCAAGTAAATGTGGTAAGTGAAGAGCTCTACCTCCAAGTGTTCCAAGGCACAGAGCTGTGGTGAGACCACACCTGGAGTACTGCAGTACACCAACAACACCAGATGTGCTGGAGAAGGCCCAGCCAAGGACCACTGAGAGGTCTGGGCACTGGAGGACCTGATATACAAGAAGAGGCTGAGAGAGCTGAGCTTGTTAAAGCTCAAGAAGGGACCGCTTGGGTGGTTTGATTAATGCAAATTCTTGACTGATAGGAGGGTGTACAAAGGATGGAGCCAGACTCTTCTCAGTGCTATCCACTCAAAGGACAAGAAGCAACAGTTAACAAATTGAAATAGAGGAAAATCCCTTTAATTTTTGTGGTTTCAGTTGGGGGTGATCAAACACAGGACCAAGCTGTGCAGAGAGACTATAGTGCTTCCATCCTTCAGGATACTCAAAACAACACTGGACAGGGACCTAAGCAATCTGCTCTGATCCCGCTTTCAGCAGAGAGGTTGGACAAGATAAGCTACAGAAATTCCTTCCAATCTCAACCATTCTGTGACTGTAGTTCTAAACTAGTAAGTGAACTCTTACCTGGGTTTCATTGAAGTCTTCCAGGATATAGCCAGCTCCTGCTCGCAGTTGTTTTGCTATGTAATGTTTGTTGTACGGAGTCATCTCTAAAATTTCTGCAGCAGAAAGTTCAATTTTCACTACAATCTATCTGCTTTGTTCATACACTTCAGTCTACAGAGCCCTCTTCCATTCCAGTAAGGGACCCCAGATGTTATCCCCAGAATATCAAGAGAAAACCCTTGGAAAAGTCAAGGGAAAAAAAATAGAGGCAGCAGAAGGGGAAGCACAGCACTGGCCAAGTGAGCACCTTGTCACCTTTTTCATGCCGCAGTTCACTGCATGGAACAT